GGAAGGAAGGAAGGAAGGAAGGAAGGAAGGAAGGAAGGAAGGAAGGAGAAAATGGTCCAGCCCACAGATAGTAATCTACAGAACGAGTCCAAGTCCTGGCCTAGTGAAAGGGCTTAACCCTCAACAGTTTCTCTACAATCTCAGGCGCCTTTCAAAAATGATCTCTGTCCTTTGCTCTTGTGAGTGTAAAAATACCATTTCAGCCAGGCGGTGGTGGTATAAGCCTTTAATTCCAGCACTCTGGAGACAGAGGCAGGCAGAGCTCTGTGAGTTTCATGACAGCCTGGTCTGCAGGGTCCTAGTTCTAGGACAGTCAGGATTACACAGAGAAACCCTGTCTCAAAAAAACCAATACATACACACACACACACATACATACATACATACATATTATTTCAACATAACAAATGCCATTTACATTAACAAGCATAGAATGAAATTTTTCAGATAGGTATGGTGCAAAAGCCTGTAATCTCAGCAGTTGGGAGGTAAAGACAGGAAGACCAAGGCCAGCCTTAGCTACACCGTGAGGTTGAGGCCAGTCGGGGCTACAGGAGAATCTGTCTCAAAAAACACCAACCAAAACAAAAAAGAAAAACAAAAGTTCTACACACAAAAATAGAGTACTATCAGAGGGAAAGTATTAATCTAATTGTTAGATATTTTGTCCTAGATTATTTTTTATGGCTTATTTGTAAAATTTTTAAAGATTTTTTATAGGCTGGGTGGTGGTGGTATGTACCTTTAACCCCAGCACTTGGGAGGCAAAGGCAGATGGATGTCTAGAGTTTAAGGACAGTCTGGTCTATAGATCAAATTCTAGGACAGTCAGGGCTACACAGAGAAACCCTGTCTTGAGAAACAAAACAAAACAGAAATTTAGTTATGCTATCCTATTTGTATGTGTATGAATGCTTTGGCTGTATGTCTGTGTACATGTATGCTCAGTGTCCACGGAGGCCAGGAGGGAGCGTCAGATTCCCTAGAAGCCACAAGTGGGTGCTAGGAACCAAACCTAGGTCCTCTTCAAGAGCAACAAATGCTCTAAACCACTGAGCCATCTCTTCAGCCCCCATGGTTTAGATTTGTCTTATTTCCTTTTTCCTCTTCCCCATAAATAAAAAGATTTAACACTGGGAAGTTAAAAACAAAAGCATTCTAGTTCATCGAGGGATGACGGCTCACATACTCCTTTCACCTCAGACACTGAGGCAGGAACGCCACTCCATCTCAACAAAACAAAATAAAAACAACATCCCCACAAACCCAGAAAACAAAAAACCAGTAACCAAATTCTCAGTTAACTTATATGAACTCAACTTATCCCTTAATGACTCGAGTATCAAAATTATCAACAGTATGCAAACTCTATGCATCTTTTCTGTAGTATTAACTTATTTTATAGCTACTCCACCTTTTAATTCAATGTTAAAATATTTAAAGATCATAATTTTAAGTCTTATTCATAATTTATTTACAGTAAAACTGAGTCTTGCCAAAGATACAAAACAGTTCCATCAGCTCAAAAAATTCCCTTACCCTCAAGGTCCCCTCTCCTTGGATTTCTGGCCCTGCAGTTTTGCCTGTGCCAAAATTATGTAAATGAAACTGACTATTAAGTAGCTTACAAGAGTCTGACACTTTTAATTAGCATACAGTCTCTGAAAGTTATTTCTGCTGATGTATTGAGCAATGGTTCATTCACTCTGTTATTGCTGAGTGGTTTTCTATGTGCATGGTATTTCAGTGGTATCCAATTTCAGGCTACTATGAATAAAGTAACTTTTTAATTTATTGGCTTTAAAAAAGATTTTCATAGTATATATGTATTTTAAATTTTATTCATTTATTTTTATGTATGTGTGTGTTTTGCTTGTGTGTACATTTGTGCCAAAGAGGTCAGAAGATAACATTAGGTCCCCTGGGACTGAAGTTCCAGGCGGTTATGAGTCACCATGTGAGTGCTGAGACTTGAACTTGGGTCCTCTGGAAGAGCAACCAGTGCCCTAAATCTCTGCGCTATCTCTCTACCCCTGTATGATATATTCTGATCATATTCTTTCCTCTTACTCAACTTCTCCCAGATTCTACCCACCCACCCAACTTCATGTTCTTTCTCTCTCAAACAAACCACACACACACACACCCAAAAAACACCAAAAACAAAACAACAAGAAAATAACATGCAGGTTATGTTGGCCAACTACTCCTGAGCATAGGCTCTGCCCCATGGTGTGGGTGATGCACCCCAAGAATAAAGGAAATCGCAACATGGCGTGCATGTACATAAATGTCTTTGTACCGACATATTTCTTTTTTGGTGTTTTGAGACAGGGTTTCTCTGTGCAACAGCCCTGGCTGTCCTGGAACTTGCTTTGTAGACCCAGCTGCCCTCAAACTCAAAGACATCTGCCTGCCTCTGCCTCTTGAGTGCTGGGATCAAAGGCATGCACCACTATGGCCAGCTATGTTTCCACTTTTGTTAAGTAGAAGTGGGAATACTGAGCTATGCTAGAAGCAGTATATAAAATAAATTAAGCAAATAAAATTAATGAACTAGTAGTATACCGTGCAGTTATTTTAAAAATCATTTTAGAAAGCAGAAAAAGGGAGGTTCCACACTTCCCTTTTTCAACCCTATTCACTGAGTGTTTCGGTGTCTCCCAGTATCTGCTTAACTGCTCACTGGAAATAGTGCATTTTCAAGCTGGGCTACACATCACAAACACTTTCAGATCTGCGACTTGGGCAGAAGCCTAAAGATTCTTAATCAGCTCTTCTGGATATAAAGCATAAACAGTGGTAGTTTTTCTTTTTTGTTTCTTTCCTCTTTTTTCAAGTACTGGAGCATATAATTTTATTTTAAAAATTTGAAACATAAAAAATACTATTTGCTGCTGTTTCTCTATTTTTTTTCTTACTGAAGATTTATATATATATATATATTTATTATACAGTGTTTTGCGTGCAGGCCAGCAGGGGTCACCAGATCTCATTATAGATGGTTGTGAGCCACCATGTGGTAGTGGGAATTGAACTCAGGACCTCTGCAAGAGCAACGAATGCTCTTAACCTCTGAGCTATCTCTCCAGGCCCCTTTACTGAAGGTTTTTAATTAAAGCACAAACCTTGTGCCATTTCATTCCAAAATTTAAAATTCAACTTAAAAAAACAAACAAAATGCTACTTTTTCTAACATCTCCACAGTACAACTTTTGTACCACATAAAACAAAACTGTTTTAACCATGTGGTACCCCAATGTATATCTCAATTTTCTTGACTTATCAGATGCAGCCAAGGATGAATCACTGGATTTTACCACTAAAACTAAAAGAATATTTATTTTTTTAACTTTTCAAGAATCTTTGGCATATTATAATGAGTATTCTCTTCCAGCTTTATTAACATTCTTCAAAAACTAACAATTATCACAAAATAAAAAGACAAGGTAGTTAACAATTTTTTATTCTTTACCTGAAAAGATCCACCTCATGAACAGTAGGTAAAATAACAGATGTGTGCGTGTCTGCCTAAAAGATTAAAAAAAGAAAAAGAAGAAAATTAGGGGAGACATCACTAAAATTTATAGAAATTGCTTTCTGCTTTTGTTTTTAAGGAAGGGCCTAAGAGCGTCGCCTTGGCTGTCCTGGCAATCACTGTGTAGTCCAGCCCAGCCTTGAAACCACAGGAGATTAGGACTGGGACGAAGGGTGCACACCACCACACCTAGTTATCTAAAGCAAAGCATTATACATGATGGTACATGACCATACCATGATAGCAGCACTCGAAAAGAGGCAGAACCGATACAAATTCAAAGGGAGGCTCACTAGCAAGTTCTTGGCGAGACAGGGCTACACAGTGTTTCAAAAACACATAACAAATAAATGAAAATAACAATACAACTACCATAATCAAAAAGCCATATCACTCAGTTCATTTTGACAAGTTTCTCTTCTTCCAAGAGCAGCCAGAGAGAGTGGGTCTCCCCAGTGCCCCTCAATACAGCAGAAGAGAGAGAAAAACACAAACACTGTAAGAATCGGTCCAATGGCCAGAAGTGAGATTCAGTCACAACTGGACAACCATTAAGACTAGGATATGTGCAATGAGCAGACAGTTTTCCTGCTGTTCTGCAGCTTTACTCCAAGAACAGAGGGAGCAGAGCGGTAAAAGCAGCTAGACTATTTCAAATGAAAGCTTCAAACCAAGATGAACAGAAACTGCTTTCAGAAAAATAAAAGTTCCGGAATCCTTTTGACTGAATCTTCTAAAATTAGGATTCCATTGGCTACTCTTCTAAGAGAACAGCTTTTGCCGGAATTAAACTTCTTTTAAAGTATCTACTGTCCTTCTGTCCTCACAATCACAGCTGGAGAACTCCAGTTCCTACTGAGGTAGTAACAGCAGCATTTCTAACAAGAAATGTAATAAAGTTTACCACTTTACTGTTCAGAAACGTATTAAAAGACACAGAAACTGCATTGTCAACATTTCCACATCACACTACCTGCTGAGTTAACTGCGCCATCTGAGTGGTCCCAGGCTTGTCATGGCATGTGGGAATCCGTACCTTAATGACAAAGAGAGAAAATATTACCTTCATCTGTATGAGATGTGCTCTATCTGGCTGCTAAAGCACACACTCAGCACTTCTAAAATATATTAGTATGTATTTATGCAGATCTTAGAATTAAGGGTATTCATTTTTAGTTGGAGCAGAAAGTAGCAAAACCAAAGTCTTCAAGACTACAAACAGATCACTAAAAACCAAGAAGCCAATGTGCTGAAAAACAAAGTAAGGACATCAGCCTCATAGATCTTCCTGCTTATCTTTCCACTCTTTGCTTCATAAATACACACACCCAAACGCACCCTCTCAAACCTGCCAAACTTTTGAATAAATCCCACAGGAAACAATGGGAACTCCCAGCCCAGTTCTATCAGTATCGTTTTTTTTTTTTGTTTACCCAAAGGGTGGGGAGAGAATACATATGCAAACAGCAAATCTAATGAAAGAACACCCTTAATAATAAAACCAACGTCACAAATACTTGAATTGCCAAGAACGTGAGTACATTCATACAAAACCTGAGAGTAAAATGCCTTCAAAACAAAACAATGGGTTAGAGACAGAGCTTAGTGGTATAGCATTTGCCTAGCACTTGTGAGGCCCTGGGTTCAACTCCCAATACACACAGAGAGAAAAACAATGAAAAGAAACGACAAAAAAATCCTCACTCTAGCAGAAAATATTCCTAGCTGAACATGTGTGCTCTGACATTAAATGGTGTAAGGCCATTTAGAGCTGGAAACAGTGACTCTTCCGGCTCCTTAATTTCTGTGAGTCACGCCCAATGCTACAAGTGTTCTGTTTCCGCTTTCCACCCTATGGGGATTCTAGGATGATGCACTTACATCCGTGTATACTTCACAGGAGTAACACTGCTGTGCAAATCCTACAAGGTGACAGGCCTGCAAGGGCCTGGACTTGAACAAAACACTGTCAAGCAGTTTACACTGTGGTGTGTCTATAAGACCTCGCAGCAGTAACAACAGTGAAGGCAGCAACGCTACGAAATGTCACCAGGTTGTTAAAAGCAAAACCCATGTGCAAGCATCCTACTGAGTTCTCTAAAGAGCAATCAAGTGAGACAATGGAAAGCTGTTACCTTCATTACTACTCCCATGATAGGCAGATGCAGTGTTTTCCCTGGCACTGGGGCAGGCCATCGGTCAACATCATTACAAGCTGAAAATGTAACAAAATATTTCCTCAATGCAAGCGGAAAATTAAAATATTTAAAATGGGCATTGCAAGTTATAACTTTTTTAGTAACATGGAAGAAATATATTAATAACAGCAGATAAGGTAAAGTAAAATTGATGAAATATTTCAGTTACATTTCTTTCAGAAATACTGTTCAAGGACATATACTGGTTAACTGTTGAATGGGAGCTAGAGAAATAGACGGCTTAGCTGTTAAGAGTACTTCCTGTTCTTGTAAAAACCTGAGTTTGGTTTTTACTACTGATGTCAGGAGGCTCACAACCACCTGCATCTCCAGCTCCAAGAATCTGATGTCTTCTCTGGCCTCCTCTCAGGCTTGCGCGTGTGTGCGCTCTCTCTCTCTCTCTCTCTCTCTCTCTCTCCTTCTCCCTCTCTGTCTCACACACACTGATAAAATTTTTTCTAATTAACAAGAAAAACCTGTTGAATGACAAGTAGGCTCAAGGGTAGCTTTCTTTCTTATTTATTTATTTTTGATTTTTTGAGGCAGGGTTTCTCTGTGTAGCCCTGGCTGTCCTGGACTCCCTTTGTAGACCAGGCTGGCCTCAAACTCACAGAGATACACCTGCCTTTGCCTCCCAGAGTGCTGGGATTTCAGGCATGAGCCACCACGCCCAGCTTTCACATTTATTTTTTAACTACTGTTTCTGTTTCTTGATTTCTATTCAATGGTGCTTTCAAGAACTACCAGTTGAAAACCTTATTACTAACTCTAACAGACACCACTTATGTCTCTACAGTGGACAGGACCAGATACCATTCTTGGTATTTATGGGTTAAGATGCCAGACCAAATGTTCTGTATCTCACTCAAATCATGTAAGTCGTAAATCCTCTGAATATTAACTTCCACTTGATTAAGACTCTGTAACTAAGAGTATATAACTAGGGGCTGGAGAGATGGCTCAGCGGTTAAGAGTACTGTCTCTTCTTCCAAAGGACCCAGCACACAGATGCCAGCTCACAACTGTCTGTAATGCCAATTCCAAGGGATCTGACACCTTCACACTAATGCACATAAAATTGAAAAAAAAAAAAAAAAAAGAATATATAACTTGTGTGGGGGATGAAGATATGGCTGAAATGTTAAAAGTGATAACAGCTCTCCCAAAAGACCAATATTTGGTTCCCAGAACTCATGTCAGGCTGCCCACAATTACTTGTAACTCTAGCTCCAAGCAATCTTCTGGCCTCTGAGGGTGTACAAGCATGTGTGTGCGCGCACACACAATAATAAGTAAATAAATAAAAGAAAACCAAAAATGAATATTAAGAGTGCACACAGTGGGCTTGGGGAAGTCAGTTAAGTGCTTGCTGCACAAAGCATGATGTTTGATCCCCATAACTCATACAAGTCATGGCAATGATGCACGCTTATAGTACAAGCACCGGAAGAGGAGACAGGAGAGTCCCTGGGGCTCACTGACCAGTCAGCCTAGCCTAATTAGAAAGCCTCAGGTCTTAGTAAAAGACCCTACCTCAAAACTCAAGGCAAATGGCTCCTGAGGAACATGACCAAAGATTCACCTCTGGTTCCCACACACAGGGGCATGTGCCCTTGCACACACACATGCCTCTGAAAACATGTGGACATGCATGAACCTGCACTCACAGACACACATACTAACACACACAGTACACAACTCATATAATTATTAAACTTACCTGCTTCCAAGTAAGGTTCATTTTTTTCAAAATACTCTGGTGCTATCTGTTTGAGTACGGTGTGAAAAAAATGAATATAAGGTAATTTGCTGATCAAAACCAATGACTGAGGAAAGAAAAGGGACAAAGGTGGTTTTCTTTAATGCCTAATGATTATAATTTAAGTTTGCCACTTATGTTTTGCATGAACAATTATAATGAGCTAAAATTCAGCAAAACAGTATGGATTTTGAAAATGAAAGATTTTTTACAGCACATGGTTACAAGAAGATACAAAGTCATAATTGAAGAATGCAAAAAGTTTAATTTTATTATGCTTTACAACAGTGGTTCTCAACCTGTGAGTCATGGCCCCTTTGAGAGTCAAAGGACCCTTTCACAGGAGTCTCATCAGAGATCCTGTATATCAGATATTTACATTATGATTCATAACAGTAGCAAAATTATGAAATAGCAACAAAAATAATTTGGGTCACCACAACATGAGGAAGGTTGAGAACCACTGGAATTACAGGCATATTCACTGATATTCCTGCCCTTCAGGCAAAACAACTTCCCCACAAACAGACTAAAATATAATGGACAATTTAAAAAGCCAAGTATAACTATTAGTTTTAACTGTTAACTTGAGACAATCTATAGCCACCTGGGAAGAGAAAAATCAACAAATGATCTCTGTATCAGGTTGGCCGGTGTGCGTGGGAGAGTATCCTGACCATGTTAACTGTGGTGGAGCCACCGACTACAGGTAAAACCGTTCCCTAGGCAGGGGGTGCTGACTGTCTAAGAGTGAAAAGAAGGGGCTAAGCATGCGATGGATGTAACCGTATATAGGCAAGTCATCAGTGTCTCAAGCTACCGCCTTTGTGACCTCTCCACAAAGGTGGACTATAACCTGGAACCACAGCTAATATAAACTACATTCTCGCCTAGACTGTTTGGGTCAGGGCATTTTATCAGCAACAGAAGCAAACTGAGATGTCTACCTGTTGCTACAACATAGCAATATCGAAAATTAGCCACATGAAGTCTTCCTACTAAAGAAATAACAAATGGTGATGTTTGGCTCAAATCCCTATGCCTGTTATGTTCTACAGTTCAGCTGTCCTAGCCTAGCCACACACTTAAAAATTGCAAGTATGACCACTTTATATACAAACTACACTCATTTTTAAATGTAGTTTTTTTCCTTGAAAACTGCTCCTTTTTATTTTTATTTTTACTTATGTATATATGTGTGGTGTCCACAGAGGCCAGAAGAGGCTTCAGATTCTCTGGAGTTGGCTATAGGTGACTGTAAGCTGTCTAAGTGAATGCTATGAACTGAATTCATATCCTCTGCAACAGTAGAAAATGCTTTTAACTGCTGAGCCATCTCTTCAGCTTCCAAACTAATTTTTATCTTTCCATTCAACATTAATTAGTGGCACTAAAAATTTCATCACAAATGGAAAAGGTATGTCCTAATAGCTGACATTAGAGTAGGAACGATTCATTTTCCTTTTTTCATAAGATTTATGAAAGACTATACATAAGGGTGGAAGCAATAATGGCTAAGATGTTACTTACGGACTCATTTAAAAAAAGTTTTCATAGGTTGCAAGAATATTACAACTTGTTTAGTTTCTCCCTTAATCTAAAATGTCAAAACGCAATGGAACTCTTCCACATATGAACTAAAACACTACAGTTTATCAGGAGTCCAGATCAGAGACAACAAAAATACAACAGTTAAAAATTACAGTGGCACATGTAACCAGTGGAACATGGCAGCATACCCCTTTAATCTCAGTACCCAGGAGGCAGAGGAAGGTGGATTTTCGTGAGTACAGTCTTATAGTAATAATAATAAACACAAGCAAAACATAAAAACTCGAGACATTATTAAGTTTAATTATTCCTATTTTGGGGGTGGGGAATTGAGACAGGGTCTCATGTAGTCCTAAGTTGGCCTCAAATTCCTGATTTTTCTATCTTCACCTCACAAATATTCATATCTCAGGCAGGCACCATCAAGTCCAGCTCTCACTTTCCGAGTCATAACATAAAACACTTTAATAGTGCACATAAAAATTACCTTCTGAAAGTAGCCTCTTTTAAGAGTTTTATCTCGAACTTGTCGAAAATACACATATCCATAAAAATATGCAGGATCTTTCTAAGAAAGAAGAGACAAAATTTTATGCATGTGTGTATGTACGAACATATGTATGCATGTATGTACATACGTATACACAGATATCTTTTAACAGTGACACTGGGCTTCCTTGGTAACCCAGGTCACTATGTGAACAATACACAAAAGCTAGTCATACTTTCCTAGCATCAAACAAAAGTCAGGGGAATAAAGAACCTGCCAACTGTCCAAGGACTAAAACTACACCCAAGAACTAAAGGTGGGACTTTTCAAACAGCTTCTGTTCTTTACATCTAGATTAGCAAACTGAAATCAGAAAAGCATCAAATTCAGTCTCTTCCCCAGTTCCACTCTACCTGCACATCTCAACAGATCAGAACCAGGGCTCACCATGCTATCAGTGTTTACAATTTATAATGGTATCATTTCCAGAGCAGTAACTGTATAGTCCGTTTCACTCAAATACTGAATCCTATCATTTAAGCTATTTAAGAAACCCAGCTACATAATAAAATAAGCCCCACCTCAAAAAGTCAAACAATATTGAAATGTTATCAAAGGTGATTAAATATGTTAGCTCTAAAGCAATGTTTCGTCTCACATGGGATTTTTCCATGACCACTTTTCCAACCTTTAAGTAAACTGGTAAATCTTTGTCAAATTGATCAAGAAGACAATGCAGTGACACCCTCCTCCCAGAAGACTGGCGGAATCTAAAACAAAATTGGGTATCTCCAAGACAACCTAATGAAAACAAAAGAAAGGCAAGTCAGGATGGCTTCATGTTGACATGCAGCCAGTTTCATTGATATTATAAGGAGAGAACTTTACAAATAATTATAACCCATTTCTTCATGTTTCAAACAAGGAAAAAAAGACAGCTAAAAATTCTAGGACTTAGCCAGGTGTAGTGGCACATACCTTTAATCTCCGTACTCGGGAGGCAGAAGCAGGTAGATCTCTAGAGTCTGAGGCCAGCCAGCTTGGTCTATATAGTGAGCTCTAGGACAACCAAAGCTACAAAGTGAGACCCTACCTCAAACACACACACACACACACACACACACACACACACACACACACACACACTCTAAATAAACTCTGGACTTACTCAAGGACTCCTTGCTACTTAGAGGCAAAATGCATATCTTAATTCCTAAGTTTCTTTACAATTTTTCCTACTTCATTTTCCAGTGTCATATTTTTGTCTGCAAATGATGTTGTCTCACAAAAATAAACAAATGAAGCTAAACACACACACACACACACCCCTCTTGTTCAAATCTACATCTATACAAACTTTGGTTTTTCTGTTTTGTTTTTGAGATACAGTCTCACTATGCAGCCCTGATATCCTGAATTCTCTATGTAGACCAGACTTGTTTCAAATTCAGCCTGTTTCTGCTGCCCAAGTGCTGAAATTAAAGGTGTGTGTCACCATACTCATTTATATAAATTTAGGACAAAAAAAAATTTAGATAGGGTCTCAGACTGTCCTCAAACTTATTATACAGCCTTGACCTCCTGATCCTCCTGTCCCTACCTCCCCAGTGCTGACATCACAGTTGTGCCATCATGTCATTTTTATGTAGTATAAGGCACTGAATAACTGAATAAAGGGATTCTTGCTTGTTTATGTGCATTGGTGTTTCACCTACATGTATGTCTGGGAGGGTGTCAGATCTCCTGAAACTGGAGTTACAGACCGTTGTGAGCTCCCATGTGGATGCTGCGAATTGAACCCAGATCTTTTGGTTACGAAGCAGTGCTCTTAACCACTGAGCTATCTCTCCAGCCCCAAATATAGGGATTCATGTATGTCAGGGAAGCACTAACCCCACTAAACTACATGCCCAGTTTCCAAATACATAAACTTTTAAAAGTAGACAAAGTGTTTTGGGATACATGGTCCAGAGATGACAACAACAACGAAGATTGTAATAGTGAAAAACATGAAAGCTTTTACTCTAATAATCAGTGGTTACACTTGAGGAAGGGGAGAATGCGTCAGAAGAGGACTGAGGAGGGTTTGTAGGTAATGGCAAAGTTCTATTAATTGGTCCTGTGTGTGTTTTACTTTTCACAATAGGAAGCTCCTTTAAAAACATAATATACAAGCTTCAGTAAGATTCCAGGTAATCAACTTACCATCTTAATTATCTGAATTACCAATTAATTTTCAACTTTAATTATTTCAGTAAGCCTCTTAAAATGTAAATTTTAATTACATTTATCAGGCAATAATTACTTTAAGCAAAGAACTGATGCCTGGCAATTGTCTTCAGCCTCCTCACACAGGACAGCACACTGGCACGTGCGTACCAACATGAGTGTACGCGCACACATCTACACAGAGTAAACGGCTTTATAATTAGAGTAAGTTACGTTTTACCTGAGGTAAAATTACATACTTGCAGTACTATCACTTGGATTTTCCCCCAGGTAATAAGTTAGATTAAAATAATAACGCTCAATATTTTTATCATTACACATGTAACTACTTTTTGTATTTCCTTCTTATATGACATTCTAAAGGGGATGAAAAAGAGAAACTTCACAATCGGTTCAACCTTTTCTGAAAGCCAAATTAGGTAACCGACTTAATGGCAATTCCAGACACTAATATTTCTTTGCTGTCAGAGGGAAGAAATGAAAGATGAGTTTCTTTGTGTTCTGAAACAGAGTTCTGCTTTGTTTCTCAGTCTGACCTGAACTCACTCTGTAGCCAAGGATGCTGTCAAAGTCAAGATCCTCCTGCCTCAGCCCCTTGAGATCTAGGATTACCAGTGTATGCCTCACATACAGATCTACTTGTGCTTACCTGTTTAAGCATGGGGAACAGTGCTCAGTGATATAGTCTAGCTTTGATTCAGTTAAACAAACTTCCATACCAATGGCTCAGAGTTTCTCTTTAGAAAATGCTACGGTTTGAATATGGGGAATTCCCACAAAAGGCTCATTAGAAGGCTATTAGAAGGCTCAGTTCCCAGCTAATGTCACTATTTCTTGGAGATTCTAAAAACGCCAAAAGGTAGAACCTAGCTGGAAGAAGCAGGTCAAAGGGCAGGTTCTTGAGGATATCTCTGCACTGCGTCCTTTCTGCTTTCTGGCTGTCGTCACGAAGTGAGCCATTCCATTGTACAAACCGTCGTTCTACGAGTAAACAGCACGGTATGTGAGGGGTGTGCATGCACACGTACACACATGTGGACATGGCAAGCCCTTTACAGGCTAAGTTATGGCCTCAGCCCCAAGCTGTTGCCGTTAAGGTTTGTTTTAATTATGTCTATGAGTGTTAGCCTGCAGGTATATATGAGTGTGTTCCACAGAGGCCAGGAGAGGGTGTAAGATCCCCTGAAACTTGAGTTACGAACAGTTGAGAACCACCATGTGGGTGCTGGGCATGGACCCCGGGTGTCTTACAAGAACAGCAGTGTTCCTGATTGCGAGCCCATCCAGCCAGCCCCAGTTATTGTTTTCATGTCATCTCACTGACAATCAGGGCAGATATTGAAAACTGCTTTTCTTCCTTTAATAAAAGCCTCTCTCAAAAGCAAAGCTCTTCAGGTCAGAGTTGTTCAGTCCCCACGTCTCTGGCCAAACTGCCCATTCAAAAACTACCAGTGTACCAGTGTACAAGCATAGAAGTGCAGAAATAGAAGTGTGTGTACAAGTCTTCAAGTATACAAGTGCACAAGCATAGAAGTGTAGAAGCATAGACGAGTAGAAGTGTGCACAAGTACAGAAGTGCACAAGTGTGCAGATACAGAAGTGTAGAAGTGCATTAGTGTAGCCTCTGCAGCAACATCAGTTACACTTGCTACTGACATGTGACCAAACGAACATGTAAGTTGAATACACTTAAAAGCTTTCTAGCAATCTGATACTAGTGTGACAAATTTACAGTTTTGTTTTTCTAATATTTTTAAAATTTCCTTTTTCTAATTTGTGAGCTTAGATTTTACAAAAGTATTGGTCTACACAGACATTAAAAAAAAAAAGTGGGTACAGTGGCACATGCCTATAATCCCAGTACTCTGGAAGGCAGAAGCAGGCGGATCTCTCTGAGTTCAAGGCCAGCCTGGTCTGCAAAGTGAGTCTAGGAAAGCCAAGGCTACACAGAGAAACCCTGTCTCAAAAACAAACAAAAAAGGCCCTTCAAATACTCCAAACAAAGACCATGCATGGAGATAACTTAGAACCCTGCACAGAAGGAGCAATGGCAGTTCGGTGTCCAAAAGGGTTTCCCAATTTAGGAACAGGGACTGTCTCTGACATGAACTCATGGGTTGGCTCTTTGATCACCTACACCCGAGTGGGGGGTAGCCTTACCAGGCTACAGAGGAAGACAAAAGAAGCCACTCCTGATGAGACCTGATAGGCTAGGGTCAGATGGAAGGGGAGGAAGACCTCCACCATCAGTGGCCTGGGGAAGGGGCATAGGAGAAGAGGGAGTGATGGTGGGATTGGGAGGGGTCGAGGAAGGGGGCTATAGCTGAGTTACAAAGTGAATAAACTGTAATTAATAAAAATTTTAAAAAATTTACAAAAGGCCCTTCAATACAGATAATCTAACATTTATACAGTTTATTATAATGTTCTTGTTGCTTGACACAAATATTGTCTGCAAGCCAAATCTACCCACAACAAGGACTGTTTGTTCCTTGAATTCATAGCTACTTAAAATTCTCTCTACTAAGCCTAAGCTTTTTTCCCTTGACATGTTTAAAATATGGAGATTACTGTCCTTGAGTATCCAACAGAACTTAAGTGCAAGGAACACTTACTCTCATATGGTGATAGTGGTAAATAACGAGGGGACAGTTGGCATGTGTAGCTGAGGTTAAGCACACTTTAATTTCATACCCAGATAAAATGCGCTAAAAGAAAAAAGAACCCACCCATGCTTTTTTCTAAAATCACAACGATCTAAGGTATATGTGAGAGGAGGGTTGTAGGATTGGCCAACTATTTCACTGTGAATTGTAAAACTTTTCTTCTGCATAGTTTTCATACAGCCTAAAATACTATTCTACTTTTTTTTGGGGGTGGGGGAAGGGCGGGTATTGTACCATGGTAAGGAAACCTTGATTTATGACTCTAGTCTGCTCTGCTTTTCCACAGCAATAAAAGCTATTTTGGAAATTTTAAGTCAATCTCACAGTTGGCACGGTACTTAAAACTTCCATCTGCAGGACACAGAGGAAAAGCAGTGGTCTGTATAAGCATCATGAGCTCTGGGCTCCAAAATGTGTTCCAGATCACACTCATCTATCTGAGAGACCTGTGCTTTCAACATCTTCTGCCAATTATACTAATACGTTCCAACCAGGCTTTGGGTAAAATGAGCTATAATTCATTTGATGGGCACTTTATTAAAAAGACATTTTTAAAAATATGTAGGTCATTTATATACCTAAAATACTATAAATTTTATTTATATAGATTTACACTTGAATTTAAGCTTATTTAAAAAAAATGACCCAGACAGATAACATTAAATAAATTATGTAAAAGGCTATCAAGTGCCAGATGCAGTAGTGCATGCCTTTAATCCAAGCACTTGGGAGGCAGAGGTAGGTGGATTTTTGAACTCTGCGAGTTCAGGGCCAGCCTGGTCTACATAGTGAGTTTCAGGACAGCCAGAGCTATGTAATGAAGTCCTGTCTCAAAAACAAAAATAAAAGCAAACAAAACAATATAAGGAAAAAAGGCTATCAAGTAGCTCAGTGACAGAGTTCTTACCTGGCTTGCACAAGGTCCTAGGTTCAATTCACAGTTTTTAAAATAAATAAAATAAATAAATTTAAATTTTTAGGCTGCTAAAATACCATAGAATTAACTTTTTGGGAAAGAAAAGTGGAGTAACTCTGCTTTAAGGATTCTGTGTGTGGCCTGAGGAGCTGAGTGCTCTGGTCTCTCTAAGTCCATGAAGCTGCTCTGAAAGTAAAACACAGAGGTAGCCTGAAAGATGTCAATGATTAGGACCACACAAGCACAGCTCATAGGAACCAGATAAATCAAGCATAATAATAGGCAAATGTGTGCCTGGCTCTATAAACTAAGCAGATTTCAAGCTTTACATGACACAGTAATCCATTTAACCAACCGCAAAGAACTGATGGTAGCATTCCACCACTATGTTCTTGCATAAAAAATTTGGAGCTAGAGAGATGGTCAGTGGCTAAGACAGCCTGCTGCTCTTCCACAGCACCAGAGTGGCTCTTAACTGCCTTTAACTCCAGCTCCAGGGGACCTGCTGACCTCTGCTGGCCTCTGGCAGCACTACATTCATGTGCACAGACCCATAATCCAATATACACACATAATTAAAAAAAAATTTTTTTTACTGCTTTTGCACAATTGCACGCAAATTCCTAAGTTCTGAACTGAAAGTAAACTATACACTCTAAGTTATCAATTATACTATTTTGCTTTTATTGTAAGAATTTACTGTTCTTTGTATGGTTTAACTAATCATACTATAACAGTTACCTTAAGAGCTGAAAAAAATGAAATCAATAATGACAGGATTAGGCATCATTAAACAAAAACTCAAACTCAATGATGTGTTGAACTAAAATTAAGTATGCATTTTAACATGCCATACTGGTTATTTGTCATGTATGAAGAATATAACCCATATCAGTACAAGATTCAAGAGAAACATCTTTTAATATAGTTACCTGAATTTGAGTCTGGAAAAGACAGATAGCAAATATTCGTTTTCTGAAAAAGAAAACAAGAGCCATGGATGTTGACATACACATACCCCAATAAAAGCAAGCAAAATTAACAGAAGACTATAGAGAGAAATGTATTTACTTACTTCTTTATCAGTAAGTTTGGAGTGTTGAGGATATATTACCTGAAAGAAAAAGATTAAATTATGTTAGCATATAATGGTTACTTCTGAAACTCTAGTTGGCTATGCCAAACAGTTGTTAAGAAATCACAGTTGGTGCTGTGGTGCCATCTGTAGTCATGCCTGCTTGCAAGACTAAATGAAGAGAATACATATTTAGAGGAAAAACTAGCTAAAATTTTAAAAATCTCCACCACAGAGCCTATCCTAACCACACACAACCTGTTCCTTTAAGTAACTATTATGTGTTTTCCTAGCTTAGTACCTGCAGTGGCCATAGAACTCATGAATGGAACCCTGGGTTTGAGTCCCCAGAGCCACAATAAGCTTGGCACAGTGGCACATAATAATCCCAGGATTCTAGAGACAGAAACAAGAGGATCTGATCAGAAGTTCAAGGTCAAGATCTTCCTTGGTAACAGCAGTTCAAGGTCATCTTGAGATACTTGAGAACTTGTCTTTAAAAAAAAGGTAGCATGAACACAAGTGCTAAGTAAAAAGATGTGGGACGAAGAGCTCTGGTACAAGTTAAGAACAGAAATACTGAAATTCAGGGAACAATGATGTCTTCACTTTTTAGCACTTTATTTCTTCTAATATTTTAAGAGCTTTATCTTTCTTAACTCTGGGCCAGAGCTCACACAAATTTGTTTTCAAACTTCTTAAATACCCTTTGCTTCTAACAAAACTTTTTCCCTGCAGCTGGGGCACAGCTCAGTGTTACGAGGACTCGCCAGCATGTAGGTACTGCATGCGACACTGTGCTGTATTGTCTTCTAGTGACTTTCTACCTGCTGTTCACGTTTTATATCACTGTGGTCAGTCTAAATAGAAAGAGAAGGGTGGCAAAACCAAAGCCTTACAGCACTGCTTAACTGATAAATTTAACTGTGCTTTGAATCACACTTAGTTATGAATTCTGACACAGTATCATCAAGAAATTGTTTTCTCACCTACATCTGATGGCACACACCTACTCTCAGAACTACTTGAGAAGCTAAGGGAAGAGGATTTTAAGCTTAAGATAGCCTTGACTACAGAGAGTTCAAGGTTGGCCTAGGCAACTGAGTGAGGCATGTCTCAAAATAAAAGGTAAAACAAGGGCTGGAGAGATGGCTCAGAGGTAAGAACATTGGCTGTTCTTCCAAAGGTCCTAAGTTCAGTTCCCAGCAACCACGTGGTGGATCACAACCATCTATAGTAAAATCTGGTGCCCTCTTCTGGTCCACAGGCATACATGCAGGCAGAATGCTGTATAAGTAATAAATAAATCTTTAAAATAATAAGAGTAAAACAAGGGTTGGCGATGTAGCATGAGAGGACCATTGTGTGCCTGCTACTAGTCGAGGCCAGTATAAACAAACAAAATTACATTTTCTTATGCCAAGTTAGGTTAAGTTTTTGTCACTTTTAACAAAAACAAAAGCCATGGTTAACTTTTTCCTCAATGGGAATTCATAAAAGAACTGTCTTGTTTTACTTACCACACTGTCTCTACACTTAGCACAGGCTCTAGCCTAGAGAAGATCTAAAAACATAAGCCAGCTTTGCTCCGTCCGAGGATACACCCTCACATTAGTTCTAGCGAAGCAGTATTAATATACACTTTCACATGTACCCACATCTCCCTTTTTTCATACTGACATTATTCTACTTGCAATTTTTAAAGCAGAAATAGCATCTAAAACCCATTACTACTATGTTCTATTTAAGTCTTGGTTTATGTAAATCTCATTACAAGCCAGGGGAATTGGTATGTGCCTGTAATTTAAGTACTCAAAAAGCCCAGGAAGGAAGATTTTAAGGTCAGCCTGGACTATGTAGAGGCTGTCTCAAACCACAGCCGATTGCAGCTAAGTTAATATGCAGTTTGCTGGACTCAATCATGATGTAACAGTGGCCTAGAACAACTTATCTTCAACAACTCTATAATTGGTCTTATGGGACTATTCTTTCAATAATTATTTCTTATACTCACAAACTCCGCACACAAAAATAAATAAAAATGTAAGAAAAAGGCCACGGGGACCCTCTATGAGACTTTCTCCAACCAAGGACCATGCATAGAGATAACCTAGAACCCCTGCTTGGATGTAGCCCATGGTAGCTCAGTGACCAAGTGGGTTTCCCTAATACAGGGAACAGGAACTATTTCTGACACGAACTCAACATCTGGCTCCTTTACCTCCCCCCACTCCCCTGAGGGAGGAACAGTCTTGCTAGGCCACAGAGGAGGACATGGCAGCCAGTCCTGAAGATACTTGATAAGCTAGGGTCAGATGGAAGGGCAGGAGGACCTCTCCTATCAGTGGACTTGGAAAGGGGCAGGGAGGAGATGAGGTAGGGAGGGTGGGATTGGGAGGGAATGAGGGAGGGAGCTACAGCTGGGATACAAAGTAAATAACCTGTGATTAATATAAAAAATAAAAATTAACAAAAAAATGTAAGAAAATTAAAGTACAGGAGAGCATCACATGTTCTGTTAACTGTATTAGATTCTTCTGAGTTATAAATAAAGCTGTGACTACATGACAATACAAAAGTAATTAAGGACTAAGTATAATAACAGATAGAAAAAAATTCATAAGGTGGTGGTGTGGCACATGCCTTTAATCCCAGCACTTGGGAAGCAGAAGGAGTCGGATGGATCTTTGAACTCAAGACCAGCCTGGTCTACAGAGTTAGTTCCAGGTCAGCCAAGGGGACACAGAGAAACCCTGCCTAGAAAAGGTAGAGGGAACACAATGAAAACAAAAAACAAACAAAAAAAAATCAAAGAAAAAATTTACATATATATATATATCCACATATATAGATATGAACTGTCTCATTTTATTTACCACTGTCTTTACACAGAATGTGTGTGTGTATGTGATATATTATATCCCAAGCCAAGAAGTGTCTTACACAAACTACGTCCACAAAGGCAGATGTGCCTGTCGCGACCCTGCACACCCACCTTCAGCGTGAAGACTGTGGTCTCCGAGGAGAGATGGTTAAGAACATGGATTACTAGGGCATCACATGCGCACACACGTAACCACAGGGCCAGAGGTGTAACTAAGTACACGATCTAGTCTTGCCTACCATGTTAGCACATGTAACAGTCTAGGTTCCACCCTGGTAGCACCAAACAAACAACAATAAAAAGGGTCAACAGCTAATAAGCACACAGAGACACTCAACACCATTAGTCACTAGGAACATGAAAATGAAAGCAAAATAAAAGATTGCTCCTACCCATTTGGATATTCCAAAGAACAGATAAGAGTGGCAAGGAGCAGGAATAACTGGAACCCTTTTAGGTTGTTGGTAGAAACACTTTGATAGCGTTTTTTGTTTTTTGTTTTTTTTTTTTTTTTTTGGTTTTTTGTTTTGTTTTTGTTTTTCAAGACAGGGTTTTCCTGTGTAGCCCTGGCTGTCCTGGACTCACTCTGCAGACCAGGCTGGCCTCAAACTCACAGATATGCACCTGCGCCACTGGGCCAGCTTTTTTTTTTTTTTTTTTTTTAAGCTAAATCACATATCCAATATGGCCAAGCAATTTCACCTCTATAAACATAACCAAGTGCAGGGAAATATATGTCCACATGAAAACTAGTACAGGAGTATCCTTTACAGCATTCACAATAGCCAAAGTAGAAATAATTTCTATCAAGAGATGAACAGATAAACAAAATGTGGCCTATCCAAACATGTATAAAAGGAAATGTATCCAATCTTGAGATGCATGTCTCACCCAGGAAAGCAATGAGTACAATCCAACACCAAATAATAAATTAATTAAAACACTTTGAGATGTTTGAGATACTTTTTTTCTTTTTTGTAACTTGCTCCCACAGTTCTCGGGCATGACCTCTGTAGATGGCAAAGTGTATTACAGTATCAAAGACTAGACACACCTGACAGATAAAACCTGAAAACATACTAAGTGAAAGCAGACAGAAAAGGCTACATGTATCTCATTCATGTGAAATTTACACAAAAAGCAAATCCATAGCTGAGCATAGATTTAGGGTTGCCAGAGGGTGGGAGAAAGGGCTTTTAGTGGATATTGGTTTTCTTTTGGAAGTGATGAAAATGTCCTGCAACTATATTAGTAATACTAGTTGTATGATTAAGAAAAACACTAAAATCACTGAACTGTGATTTTAAATTGGTAGATCTTACAATACACAAATTATCTGGGCTAAAACAAGCAAAATCACTAACAGCCTGGGCAGAGCTACTAATTCCCCTTAAAGTCATAGAGCAGAAATTATAGTTTTTCTCCCAGTGACCTCAAGAGTCTCCCTCTTCCAGTATAACCATCATTAAACATTTTCCTTTCAAAAAAAAGTGTTCCTGTATTTTTGCTTGTTTTGAGACAGTCGAGTCTCACTGTGTAGTCCTGGCTGACTGGAAACTGACTGTAGACTGGGCCAGTCTTGAACCCACTGACATCTGCCTGCCTCTGAGGGAGATTAGGACTACAAGTATATAACACTATGCCCGCTAGCCATTCCCAACCTTTAACCTAGATTACACTGTACGACAGCCTTCTGTTTTACTGAAGATCATAGCATTTCAGTATAAAGTCCATTCACTAATCTGAAATAGGCTTTGAATTTTCCTTCAACTTCCTTTGGCCATGCTTAGGAACTGCTTAACTGTTTTGATTTTCCTATCAAATTATATCTAGGACATGAAACAAGTGATTTTTATTTTCTCTTTCTACAATTTTTCTTAAGTGAATATACATATAATTTTTATTATGTGATGTAAAATTTTAACTTTTCAAGTTTTAAGATTAAAAATAATTTTCATCTTACATTAAATTTTTTTCACTTAGTGTGTAGAAAACTTACTTCATGCCTTTATTCAACTCTCCCATTAACCAATAATGGAGAATTAAATAATAACTATCCTTACCACTGTCAGCTCGCAGAGAACAGGGCACAAGAGCCTGTGCCTGTAGTCTCAGTATCCAGGAGACAGAAACAAGATGCGCAGTTGAGCTCTTG